ACTCTCCATTTCTCCCTAAACCCACTAATTTCCTGACCCTGTCTGGTGTCAGGGTCAAAGGGGTCATCTTTTCTTACATTCAGTTAATGTACCACAATGGTTTTTGCTTCATATTTGGACCATGTCCTTCTTAAATGGCCCTATTTGCCTTTTTTTTTTTCTTTTTGGCAAAAAAGAACACATGCTGTTTTAAATTTTTAAACCCTAGGATGTCTTCTAGCTTATTAATGTGATATTATCTGTTTAATGAAATCCTCTTAAAAGAAATTCTTCCGAGAGCTCACTGACTTTATGTTCTCATCAGGACAAATTGTTTTCTAGACCTGCATAGAGCTATGATCCGGGAATTCTTTCTCATTGTGCTTCTGGGTTAGGCCTACTGTTTCTTGGGTCAAGTGTCTTCCTCTTTTTTGAAATCTCCCTGCTTTTTCCAATGGAGTATATCCTCACGTACCTTTTTCTTTTCTTTTTTTTTTTGAGATAGAGTCTTGCTGTTTCACCCAGGCTGGAGTGCAGTGGTGTGCTCACGGCTCACTGCAGCCTCCACCTCTCAGGCTCAAGCGGCGTTCTTGCCTCGGCCTCCCAAAGTGCTGGGACTACAGGTGTGAGCCACCATGCCTGGCCTATCGCATACCTTTTTAGACAAGAGTGTATGTGGGAAGAAAACTGTATGCCCTAAGAATATCCTTATTGTACTGATAGATTGTTTAAGAGTTTGGCTCAGCATAGAATTCTAAGAGCAAAATAATTTCCCAGAACTTTGAAGATGGTATACTTTTGTCTTCTAGCAGTGTGTTTGACTGATAAGATATCTTTGTGAGTAACATTTGCTTTCTCTCCAGAAGATTTAGGATCTTTATCTGTGATGTTCTGAATATGGATGTAGTTTGTTATAGATCTTTTTCCATTTGTTATTTTTGACATTTGACCATCACTTGGGGTTTTATTCTGATACATATTTAATAAATAAACTTCATTTTTTTTGAGACAGTCTTGCTCTGTTGCCCACACTGGAGTGCAATGGCATGATCTCAGCTCACTGCAACCTCCACCTCCCAGGTTCAAGTGATCCTCCTGTCTCAGCCTCCCAAGTAGCTGGGATTACAGATGTGTGCCATCACGCCCAGCTAATTTTTGTATTTTTAGCAGAGACAGGATTTCATCATGTTGGCCAGTCTGGTCTTGGTCCGCCTGCCTCGGCCTCTCAAAGTGCTGGGATTATAGGCATGAGCCACTGTGCCAGGCCAGTAAATAAACATTTTTAAAGTAGCAAAAGCAACAGAACCTCAGAGCTGGATATTTCATGGCAACTAATCAATTCCTGTAACAGGTTCTCAATTTCTAATCGGTCTTTAACTTTTTAGAAAGTTAACCCATGGGTCATTATAATCTAATTATGTATCTATTATGCTGTGATAGAGAATTAATTAGTATAGTCTATTTCATAAGGTAAGGGGAAGGATAAAATTTTCATGAGATTATTGGAATACAATTGTATTGGATTATTTTGGTATTCGAGTTTTTCTTTTTTTGAGACAAAGTCTCGCTCTTGTCCCCCAGGCTGGAGTGCAGTGGGCGTGATCTCAGGTCACTCCAATCTCCGCCTCCTGGGTTCAAGCAATTCTCCTGCCTCAGCCTTGCAAGTAGCTGAGATTACTACAGGCACGTGCCACTATGCTGGGCTAGTTTTTTTTTGTATTTTTAGTAGAGACAGTTTCACCATGTTGGCCAGGCTTGTCTGGAACTCCTGACCTCAGGTAATTCGCCTGCCTCAGTCTCCCAAAGTGCTGGGATTACAGGCGTGACCCACGTTGCCCAGCTGGTATTATAGCTTTTAGTATACACCAAGCTTTTCCTTCAGTTTGTTTCATTGTACTTAGCTGCTCACATAATTGATATCATGAATATAAATAGTCTTATGTTCTTTATTTGTACTGAGATCATACCAAGTTTCAGTATGTCGTAGCTATCGAAAAAACTTAATGATGTCTTTGCAGGCTTTATACCAGCCTGCATGGTGACAATTTTCTTTAATATTAGCTCTTTAAAAATTCTTTAATTTATCTTGCTTACAATGTATATGACTATTAATTTTTATGGTCAATGAAAATTTTAGAAATTTCTAAGTTTTTTTGTTACATACCAAACAATTGACAGGTAATGTGTGAGTTTATTGTTATGAAATTTATTAATCATAGCTTGAAAAATATAAACATGTATGTTTGTGTTTTAGGTTATTCTTAGTTTAAATTAAGTTTCTGCCCTTTTAATTTTGATGTGAGATATGTGCTAGTGATGTGACCTGTTTAGGTACAGTGCAATGCCGTTTCATTCTGTTTTTAGAAAGGCTGAATGTTTTAGAGTAGATAGGGTGGGATTTCCAGGCTGGTCCTCACTGATCCGCTTGTGGGGTTCCTCCTGAGAACCGCAGAAAGTCTGGCGTGAACTCTCCATTCAAAGGCCTGTGCTGATTCTTGACGAAAGTTTAACAAGGCTCCTAGCAGCCTAAGGCCAACTCTGGGACAGCCCAGCTCAGGGTTGTCTGGAAGAGCTCAGGGCTGTCAGAATAATTTACTGTTTTAGCCAACACCCGAGGATAAGCCCCTGACATCCTTTTTAAAGAGAGTTTAGAAGGGCTTAAATTATGAATCCTTCTCTGTCCCTTTGAGATGTCTCTAAATCTGCAATTCAGGAGTGTCTTTGAAAAGAGCAGAAAGGACAGGAGGGCCTCTGTTCCGGTCTCTCTGGGAAGGTAGAATCCTAACTGCTGTAAATATATCAGCTAGCAGACACAGCAAGCCTAATCTCAGTTACACTGACCAGCCTTTGTAATTTTTCACTTGAGCTCCCCTAGTCTGGGTTCTCCCCTAAAACACTCCTTCACCTCAGTGCAAACAGAAATGGAGCTCAGCTGTTTCCTGTCCTGCCTGCAGTTACAGAATGAAATCTGTTCGCCACTCCAACGTCTGGCACCCCTACCCACACTCCTCATCTGTCAGCCAAGTCTAGAAAGGAATCAGCCTGAGGTCAGCTCTGTCTACAAAGTAGACTCAGCGCAGTCCGCGTTTTAGGCATCTGCCGCTTTGATGTAGCAGCTCGAAGATGGGACTTGAATCTGCACATACATGCACACCGAAAACACGGGTGCTCCCTGCAGCCACATTTGTCACACGGAGTGCGGAGTGTTAGAAACAGCCGGTGTGGCCACCAGCCAGGGCCTAGGTGAGTGAATTACGGTGACTGTGGGGAATAACCTTGAATTCAGCAATGGAAACTGATCATCCTAGTTTTCTTAGTTTCCGTTTTCTTGGGAGCACTTTTCCTACCAGGGAGCGTCAGTTACACAGTCAGGTAATAGAATGAAGACCTGGATAGGCTGCGTTTCATAATTTGGCCCTAAGTAATTTGATAACTTAAAAATTATAGTGTAAAGAATTTTGAAAAAAACGAGGACAGCAAAAGGTAAATTACGTCTCAGTCCTAAAGGTGGGAGCCAGCCTTGCACTCTGGGTCTTTTAGCGTGTGCCTAGTTTGGTGTGTTGCCATACAGGGTTAGTGAAGCACACTGCTCTGGCCATTAGTGGCCCTGCTCATTCCAGTCTGTAATTCTGAGAATTCACGTTGGTGTCATTAACGTAAAGAAAATTCAGGCAAAATTAATTATAGAGACTATCAGGGCCATGGCCTGGGAAACACTGGCAGGTGCTCCAGAGAACAGAGGAGAGGCTTGAGTGTTTAAAGAGAAAAGGGCAGATCAGCAGAGGGGAGGATTACAAAACACTTTGTCAAGAATTCCCATTGTTTTACAGAAGTGACATTGATTATTGATTATTGATTGGTTATACATCACTGAACTGTAGGTTATGAATTCTGGTATCCAGTGTATGACATTGGTAGGTTAATTTATGGCTATTGGCCAGGTGTGGCGGCTCATGTCTGTAATCCTGGTACTTTGGGAGGCTGAAGTGGGAGGACTGTTTGAGGATAAGAGTTCAAGGCCAGCTTGGGCAACATAGCAAGACCCTATCTTTGAAGAAAAAAAAAAAGCCTGGGCATTATGGTGCTATTCTGTGGCCCCAGCTGCTCAGGAGGCTGAGGTGGGAGGATTGCTTGAGCACAGGAGGTCGAGGCTGTGGTGAGCTATGATAGCACCACTGCACTCCAGCCTAGGTGGCAGAATGAGACCCTTTCTCTAATAAGAATAATAGTAATATGACTGTTGGTGGTGATGCTGAGTCAAGAGGTCATAAAGCAGGCGGCTTATTTAGCTCCGGGTGTGGGTGGGAGCGGGACGTCCTTAGCTCCGGGTGTCGCCGGGGGGGGGGGGGGGGGGGGGGGGGGGGGACGTCCTTAGCTCCCGGGTGTTGGGAGCTCCGGGTGTTGGGGGGGGGAGCGGGACGTCCTTAGCTCCGGGTGTAGGGGGGGAGCGGGACATCCTTAGCTCCGGGTGTGGCGGGGAGTGAGACATGACCACTGTCACATTTCAGTGACTCTGGATCGAAACGTTTAAAGGAGCTCACATTCCTCAGATTAGTTTCTTTTCTTTCTCAGTGTCATGTAGGAAACAGGATGAGGACGTGGATGTCAGCGCTATACCACTGGGTCCGTGTAGGTGAATGTCACAGGGTTGGGCCGCTGTGTCTTTGTCGTGTGGGGACTCAGGCTGGATGGTGCCTTTGCTGCTTTGCACAGAGCTAGTGGTCAACTTGAAGGTCCAGAATGGATTTATGGCGGTGGCACGGGAAGGAAGAATGGATTTAGAAACAGGTTAGAAACAGAAATAGTAGCATCTGGTGACGCTTTCATCTGTTTATTTTTTAATAGAGATGGAGTCTTGCTGTGTCACCTGGGCTGGAGTGCAGTGGTGTTATCACAGCTCACTGCAGTCTTGACCTCCTGGGCTCCAGTGATCTTCCCATCTTAGCCTCCTGAGTAGCTAGGACTACGGTTAAACCACTGTGCTTGACTGAATTTTCTTTTTTTAATAGAGATGGGGTCTTGCTGTGTTGCCCTGGCTGGTCTTGAACTCCTGGGCTCAAGTAATCTTCCTGCCTCAGCCTAGTAAAGTGCTAGGATTACAGGTGTGAGCCACCATGAAACCTGGCCCAAAATAACTTCCTTTGAACATTTCTTAATGTGTAATTAATTAATTCAAATCAATATTTAACTTTAACCTCTGATGAGTGTTTTCTAAAAGATGAGGCTGGGTTGGAAAGCAAGGGGAGAAGCCCACTGTCCACAGGTGGCTGCAGATGCCAGGGGCACTTTCTCGCTGGAGTCTGCCCGGCTGTCGGAGGTTATATGTGGCAGGAGCAGTGAGCGTCAGGTCCAGGGTGTTTGGCTTACAGAGCGGGAAGCCCGCACACCCACTTGGAGTGTGGGTCGGACAAGATGGCACAGTGGTGGGGTTTGCTTTCCATCTGGGCCATGAGTGTCCTCCCTGCAAGTGACGTTTTGGCTCCACCACCTCTGAGGGTGCACCATGGAGGTGATTTCAGCCCAGGTTTACTTCTCCTTGGATTTCAGGATGAGATGAGAGTGGGGAAAAGAATTCCCTTAAAGCCTTGCATTGAGGGGAAGGGGAGTTAAATTAGTTTGATCTGTTTTGTTTGGGAGGCAATTCAAAGGGATTTAAACATTGTTCAGGGTTCTTACTGTACAGTTCTCCAAAGAGTTTTGTTATGAAAAGGTTCTAGATGATTTAGTTGATGTGAATCACGCGTAAATCGAGGGACAGAGGCCCTGGGGAGTTGGTGCTAGGCAGCCCCTCATCTCCTGTTTGCTCACCGTGTGCACGAAGGATGCCGGCCCAGGACACGTGCGTGCAGATGCTGAAGACCGCAGGCTCCAGTTCTCATCCACTGTGTGGGCTGACTCATGCTGATGGCTTTGCTGCCTAGCTCTCCTGATGTCTCGCCCTGTCCCCAGGTTGGGATTTGTTCTGATGGGAGTACTGGGGAACTTTGCCCATCGGTTCCATACTTGAAGAGTTGATTTTAAGCATGGATTGCTGGGCTGCTCCGTAGGGCAGAGTCTGAGGGCTGGTCAAGTTGGTCTGTAAAAGGCCTTGGCAGAAGCATGTGGTTTACATGTGGCAAGTGGGGACCGACAGCACCGGGGCAGGGAAGCCGAAAATCGTTGTTGAACAATTTGAAACTCTATGGAGGGAGACAGCATGGATAGAAAACTTGAGGGTAAACAGTCCATATTAGCTGAGTTTTAAGTGCTCCAAAGTAGTAGCATTCTGTGCATTTAAGAAAATGGCTGTTTTTTTTTTCTTCCTGAAAACTAGAGAGACCAAAGAAAAATCCTGTGATCTCCATGAGAGACCTCTTGTCTTGAGGGTTTTTAACTTTATCAGCATCAGTAATGTTAACAACCATTAAGAAACCCCACTGGATAGGTTTTGTGATATACTTACTTTTCACATTCTGAGCTGGTGGCCTTGTGCCTTCCCAGTGTCCCCTGAATGTCCTCAGCATCCCCTGTGTGTGGCACCCGTGTCTCGTGGTTGAACTGTCCCCTAAGGTTCTAGGTGTCCCCTCTCTGTGGTGCCCACGTCTCCTGGTTGGACTGTCCCTGAGTGTCCCGGGTGTCCTTTCTCTGTGGTGCCCACATCCCCTGGTTGGACTGTCCCTGAGTGTCCCAGGTGTCCTTTCTCTGTGGTGCCCACATCCCCTGGTTGGACTGCCCCTTCGTGTCCTGGGCATCCCCTCTCAGTGGCGCCCACGTCTCCTGGGTCTCCTTGTTGGACTGTCCCTGAGTATCCTGGGCGTCCCCTCTCCGGTCACTCATGTCCTGGGTTCCATTCAGCCTTTTTGTTTATAGCAGGTCCTATATTAAACCTTTCTGTAGAAGTTAACTTTAAATAAAAAGAGTTGGCCAGGCACGGTGGCTCACACCTGCAATCCCAGCACTTTGGGAGGCTGAGGTGGGTGGATCACCTGAGGTCGGGAGTTCGAAACCAGCCTGACCAACATAGAGAAACCCCGTCTCTACTAAAATTATGAAACTTAGCCGTGCGTGGTGGCGGGTGCCTGTAATCCCAGCTACTCGGGAGGCTGAGGCATGAGAATTGCTTGAACCTAGGAAATGGAGGTTGCAGTGAGCTGAGATCGTGCCACTGCACTGCAACCTGGGTTACAGAGTGTGTCAAAAAAAAAAATTATTTAATATATTTATGAGGTATTACAGCTTTTTTTGTTTGCCCTAATTTTCACATGTCCAGGAAGAGTTTTAGTGGCTTATCCATGAAAAGTTTCCATTTTTCGTTTGGACTGAATCTGTTTTTTTTTTTTTTTTTTTTTGAAACAAACTCCCAAATGCTTCCTTTATTTATACCTTTAAGGAAGTGTTTCTCAAAGGGAAAAATTGGATAATTATGGTATATTCTCTGCAGGAAATCATCCTTGATTGATTTTGCTTAGCTGAAGTTAGGTTTATCATCAAGCTCTGGTGTACTGGGATTGTAGGGTTGTACCCTGTGTTGTTGGAGTGTTACTGTGGCATGGTGATAAGTGGTTAGGTTTTACTGGGGTTGTAGGGTTGTAGCCTGTGTTGTTGGAGTGTTACTGTGACATGGTGATATGCGGTTAGGTTTGGCATGAAGCTCTATTGTACTGGGGTTGTAGGGTTGTAGCCTGTGTTGTTGGAGTGTTACTGTGATGTGGTGATAAATGGGTAGGTTTTACGGAGTCATGGGGTTGTAGCCTGTGTTGTTGGAGTGTGTTACTGTGGCATGGTGATAAGTGTTAGGTTTTACCGAGAATTCGTAGGGTTGTAGCCTGTGTTGTTGGAGTGTTACTGTGGCATGGTGATAAGTGGGTGGAGTCTTACTGGGGTTGTGGTTGTACCTATGTTGTTGGAGTGTGTGACTGTGGCGTGGTGATAAGCCCCTGTGTGTTCTGCACTGAGGTTCTGCTCAGGCCTCAGTGCAGCTGTGAAAGCGGGAGCAGTGAAGAAGGAGCTGTGGCTGCACTGGCAAAGCTCATGCTCCCCTCTCGAACCAGCATGGATGTATCGGAATCACCATCTCGAGGGGTTGCCAGGAGCGGTGGTGCAGTGTGACAGGAGGCGCCCCAGCTGGGGTGAGGGCAGAAGGGGAGTCCCAGCCTTGCCTTAGAGCACAGTCAGCCTTTCCTGTCCTCACGGTTCCTGTGGGTCGGGGTTTGGGAGTGGCATGGGGGGACGTTAGGGTGCAGTCTCACGGCTCCCTGAAGGTGGGATTGGAGCTTAGGGGCCCTTCTGGGGTGTGGGCTGGTGCTGGCCTCTGCCTGGGCCTCCCTAGGAGTGCTTGGGCATCCTTGTGCCTATGACATCTCGTCTCCCAGGGTGTCACTTGGGAGTGAGAGCAAGTGAGTCGCCACAGCCAGGTAGAAGCTCTGGAAGGGACCTGAGCGGGAAGGCACACAGCTAGGCCTCACCCGCCCTCCTCATCAGAAGTGTGGCTGGGCGGGCGCTTGAGCTCAGCAGTTTGGGCAACGTGAGCGGAACTCTGTCTCTACAAAATACAAATATTAGCCAGGTGTTATCCCAGCTACTGGGGAGGCTGAGGTGGGAGGATGACCAGGCTGAGGTTGTGCCACTGCACTCCAGCCTGGGTAGAGACCAGACCCTGTCAGAAAAACAAAAGATGAAGACGAAGAGAGTGTGACATAGAATCCCAGCACATTCGCTGGAAGGAATCGCTTGACTTGTAAAGGAAGGGTTGTTGAAGTGGAAGTGTTTTAAGACCACGGCACCTTGTTATTTTAATATCCCCCTCAGATTCTTAGAACAGTGGGATACCTGGTGAGCGGCTCGGGGATACCTCCTTTCGGCACACAGTTGGATTCTGTCACGGCTGGTGGTGAGGCACGCGACATGCTCAGCAGTGCTGGTGACGGAGGACTAAGACAGGCCTTCCTTTCCGGAAGGTGAGGAGAAGCAGCTGGAGAGGATGTCATCACTCTTGAAAGGTGGATTATCCAGCGAGCAAACACTTTCGTAGTAGAGAACTGGCAAACATCAGAGGGGCTGGACGGCGTTTTTAGGCTGGGGCCTTTTTGGGTTTATCTGCGCAGCCCCAGCTCTGCGGCGGTGCTCGGTGTGTGTGAGGAGCTTGGCGTTTATTTGCTGAATAAATTACAGAGACCTGTGAGGCCAGAGAGACAGAGTGAGCTTGTGGGCCCACGGTTGCCCAGTGCAGCGGGGCCAGGTGTGACCGGGTGTCCTCAGGGACAAGCAGGCTTTCCTGGCGACTGTTGGGCATTCACTCCCCCAGAGTCGGTTCCGTTCTGACGTGTTGGCATTGGCAGGACTCCCAGAGCTGAAGCTGCTGAGCCTTGCGATGCCTCACTGTGCTCGTTAGAAAAGTGGAGCTGATAGCCTTCTTGATAGGGTTAGTAAGTGAAATATGGTGCTTGACTCCAGGATGGCATGTAGTACGCACCAGATGCTAAGCTTCGTTTCTGTCTTGTCTGTCATACATCCCAGCTGCTGTTGCTGTGTAAAGGGCTGTGGTGTGAGGCAACAGCAACGGTCCTTCCTGGGGCCCCTGAGGGTGCAGGCTACAGAGACACCGGGTCCTGCACCTGGGAGGGTGGCCACAGCTGCACCTGGGAGCTCCCACCCCACCAACTCGGAAGGGCCCAGGGCTCTTGCTTGTTCCCAGCTCCTGCCTACTCCAGGAAGTGGGAGGCCCAGGTCTGCAAATGCAGGTCAGGTTGGGGTGATGGAGCAGGATGTCATGGCTCTGGAGTCTGTTGGGGCAGAAGTGGGATTTCTTAACTCCGGGTGTAGTGAAGGGCAGGTTTACACCATAACTCCCGGGAGGAGGTGTGGTGGTGGGAGCGGGATGTCCTTAGCTCCGGGTGTGTGTGTGGGGAGCAGGACATCCTTGCTCCGGGTGTGTGTGTGTGGGGGAGCAGGACGTCCGCGCTTAACTCCGCGCTGGTGTGTGGGGGAGGACGTCCTTAGCTCCCGGGTGTGTGGGGGGCAGGACGTCGCTAACTCCCAGGGTGTGTTGGGAGGCAGGACGTCCTTAACTCCGGGTGTGTGGGGGCGGGACGTCCTTAACTGGAGTGTGTGTAGAGGCGGGACGTCCTTATCTCGGAGTGTGTGGGGAGAGGCAGGACCGTCCTTGGCTCGGGTGTGTGTGTGGGGGGGGAGGGGACGTCCTTAACTCCGGGTGTGGGGGAGGCAGGACGTCTGCATGCTCCAGGGTGTGTGGGGGGCAGGACGTCCTTAACTCCGGGTGTGAGGAGCAGGACGTCCCCTTAGCTCAGGTGTGTGTGGGGGGGGCGAGGGGGACGTCTTGGCACTCCGGGTCATGTTCAGAGCCAGGAGGAGAGGGGCGTGCTGCTCCGGGTGTAGAGGAGCGGACGTCCTTAACTCAGGTGTGTGTGGGGCCCAGGGACGTCTTAGCCAGTGCTGTGTTGAGCAGGATTTCTTAGCTCCCGGGTGTGTGGGTGGGGAGGCAGGATGTCCTTAGCTCCGGGTGCTGTGTGTAGGGGAGCCGGAGGAGAGGGCGTGTGCCAGGTGTGTGGAGGCAGGACGTCCTTAACTCCGGGTGTGTGTGTGTGGGGGGCCGCGGGACGTCATGCTCCGAGGGTGTGTGTGTGTGTGGGGAGCGGGACGTCCCATGCTCAGGTGTGTGTGTGTGGGGCGGAAACGTCCCATGCTCCGGGTGTGTGTGTGGGGGAGGCAGGACGTGCCTTAACTCCGGGTATTGTGTGGAGGAAGGAGGCTGCAGAAATGTGCTCGGGTGTGTGTGTGGGGGGCAGGACGTCCTTAACTCCGAGTGTGGGGGGGCGGGACGTCACTCACTCCGGGTGTGTGTGGGGGGAGGGGACGTCATGCTCAGGTGTGGGGTGGGGGCGGAACGTCCTTAGCTCAGAAGGTGTTGGGGGAGCCAGGACGTCCTTAGCTCAAGGTGGGGGAGTGGGACG